CATTGCTTTAGTACCATTTCATCAGTGATTGTTGCACAGCTTACAAGTTGCGCTAATGCTAATGTTAGCATATGTATCAGATCGCAAATAAAACTAGGTGGCTCCGTGTTATGAGAGCGTAGGGGAAATGAGAAGCCTGTGAGCGAGTTGGGGGGCGGTGCTAAACATTCAAACATTGTAGAAACGGGTATAGCGCCTTTAAAGGGTTAAAATAGTTTTGATGTGAGAACTTAGAAAGGTATGGAAGCCCGTTTCCGCCATGTAAAAAAAAAAAAAAGCATACAGAAAGTCAAAATTTTGAGTTTAAAAGTCAAAATTACGACTTTAAAAGTCAAAATGTCGACCTTAAAAGTCAAAATTTCGACTTTAAAAGTCAAAATTACGAGTTTTCAACTGCGCATGTGCAGTTGAAAACTCGTATGTGTTGATGTCTGGAACGGTCTCTGGACGTCCTTCACCTGCAGATTATGAAGATATTGCCGACAGTGACCACTGCATCCATGAAGAAGCCAAAAATAATGTTGTTTGATTGATTCTGTAAAACTTTCCTGTTTAAGCCCCAGACCGCGGTCGTAGGACGCAGGGGGAGCTTTCTTTTTATTTATTTATGTTAAATTCAATTTACATATATACAACATTTAAATCAAACTACTTCTTACTTCGACATAGTAACAAATAATGTGAGCAATATATTTTTATAATAAATCAAAGGAAAATGAGCCATCGAGACATTCCAATCTGCTATACCCCACTCTGACCAGACGATGGCGCTGAGAGGGGTCCACACGGAGCGAGTCTTTCCACGACTGAAAGGATGTGCTTTCAACGTGTTGAGTACAGGGTTTTATTCATGCATCTATAATGGGTTTAAGTCCCTTTTCAAAGACCCTCACTGTTATCTGCGGAGTTATTTCTCCGGATTGTTGCTAAAAGAGTCGTGGCTTTATTTTGTCACAATAAAATAATCAGACAAAGTACTTATTCCCTGTATGTGTTCTTGCTCATACGCCAACAACTTTACCACACGCTCCATCAGCTCACCCCCGCGTGCACGCAAACACGTCACATACTCTTCAATGCACTGATCGCAATTCCAAAAGGGTAATATTGTCAGTGCCCGTGACTGTGGTTCTCCTGCCTCTGTCTGTGGTTCACCTGCCTCTGTGTGTGGTTCACCTGCCTCTGTCTGTGGTTCTCCTGCCTCTGTCTGCGGACCTCTCTCACTGTCCTGTAATCGTGAACGGTCTCTGTCAGTCACAATATCATTCAGTGCATTTCTGGTGCATCCATCGATAGCCGTGATACTGACCAGACGCAGGGCTGGACTGGCCATCGGGCGTACTGGGCAATGCCCGAAGGGCCGATGCCCATATTTGGGCCGGCCTGTCTGCCTCATACAAAAACATGTTTGTGAAAAGTCTAAATCCGTTGAGAATTGTTCGAGGGGGGCGTGCGTGTCCGCGGGCTCCTGCTGTATGTACTCGAACGGGATTCCGCCACCTCAGCGGCTGCAGTGTTCCCGGGCTGCTGCGGACGCTTTGTCCCCGCAGTTCCCGCATCCAGCGGCTCTGAGCTGGACGCGGGAGCCGCTCACAACACAACACGGTGAGCGCGTAGCCGCAACGTGACCATATACCCAAGACCATAAACGCGCACAGGACCATGCGTGTCTTAGCGTAGTCTGTGGACCCAATAAATACACCGCTTCAGTAAACAGTCCGCGTCTCCCCTCTCCTCTCGAAGCGCGACTAAATTAAAGCTTGGGTACCTAAATTTTCCATTGCATCAAAAGTTCATGTTTGAGCCCAAAAGTAAAATGTTGTGAACAAATCAAACAGATTTAGTGGCAGCCAATGGCTGACATTATGCATTTCAGACTTTTTTTTGACCAATTCTCATCCCTGTAACAAACAACAGTATTGTCTGTGTCCACCTCCCTCACTCTGAGACATGTTTATTACTCTCTTTAATGTAGACTATTGCGTTTTATTTTATTGTTGAAACTGCAGACATCCTGATCCTCTACAGTATTTGCTTCCACATACTGTATAAACCAGGGGTCGGCAACCTGCGGCTCTTTGTAGCTCCTCCAGTGGCTCCTGGAGCCTTTTAAAAAATATCTGAAAATGGAGTGGGAGGGCTATATTTTATTTCTAGTTTGAATGTGGTTTCTGTAGGAGGAAAAACATTCTTGATGTTTTTAAATGCTGTGCATAAGTATTATTCAATTTCAAAATGTCTGTCTACGTAGTGTGTCATATCCGGTGACGCGGCCCCGTGCCAGGCGGCGGCTGAGGTAAACAAACCGGCGTGTGTGCATCATAGACTGTGTGTGCGCATGGATCCCAAAGATAAAGAGAGAAAGAGTCAATAGGACTGGACTAAGAATCAGAATGAACTTTTGCTTTCAGTCAATAAGGAAAGACTGCCTCGTGTTTGTAACGAGAAGTTTTGTTGCAACACGAGGAACAATGAAGCTTTAAACACTGTTCACTGAAGGATTAATTCATCATAAAGTCAGAGCACCTATTTTCAGACTTCAAAAACCTTCGCAAAGACGGTGAAAGAAAAGGCCATTAAGGACATTCAGCTCCAGCAAACTTCAGCCTGTGATGGATATGAACAGACAGTGATGCAGGTGAACTCGGAGCCAAAAAGCAGATTTATTTACTGTATTTCTACAATTGCATGAAGGCAAAAAAATGGAAGTTAAAGTTAAAGCAGAGTCGTCACGTGGTGCGTCATTCTCTCCAGGACACACTGCAGTGAAAATACACATTTGATAATCATGAATGCTTATATTGTATATTTGTAGCTAATATAGCTAATACAGCTGCAGCCTGTGTTACCTTCATATAAGCCTTTTACAAGGCTCCAGACACATGTTGTTTTTAGTTTTGTTGTCAAATATGGCTCTTTGAACCTTTAGAGTTGCCAACTGGTATACCCAAACTTGTATAAAACGTGAAAAAACATGCCTGGGCCGCCAAGAAGGCAAAAATGCCCGGGCCGTTTTTTTGTCCCAGTCCAGCCCTGACCAGACGTCACCAGTTGATGCTCAATGACTTCGAACAGCCGCATGTGTTTTATTATTAATCTTCCACAGTCCGTTTAGGATAAACTAAATAGAGGCTTCTGAAGCGGATTCTAATCATAAACGGAGAGACCGTTTGCATTTTAACGCGATTACTGCCCCAACATTATTGCTGCTACTTCATGGATGTGGTCACTGTCTGTAGGAAATATCTTCACATAATCTGCAGGTAGAGGATGACCCATGGTCATGGATCTATAACAGGGATGACCCATGGTCATGGATCTATAACAGGGATGACCAGAGACCGTTCCAGACAACAACACATACGGGTTTTCAACTGCACATGCGCAGTTGAAAACTCGTAATTTTGACTTTTAAAGTCGTAATTTTGACTTTCTGTAGGCTTTTTTTTTTTTTTTTTTACATGCCGGAAACGGGCTTCCATAGAAAGGCCATTATTGAGATGTTTATTTTTTATTGTTTGACTCAAAAGGTGATCTACTGTGCGAACTTAGATAAGTTATCAAGAATAACGTCGTGAAACACCTCCAGTGATGTCTGCTCAGAGCAGAGTTTCTTCACACCTTCCAGTAATCACTTGTTCATAAGTATCTTTTATTTGAACAATGGGGCAGACCCTGAGTAAAAAAACAATGTGTTGGAAACATGAACACACAACTCTGGCCTCAAAGTTCTATTATGCGTTTCCAAACGTGGCAGAAAGCATTTGCTTGGATCCTCAGTACAGTTGTGAGTGACTGTCTGTGACAATGTAGTTCACTTCAAGACTTTTTCCTCCTGCCTCATTGCTCTAAGGAAACAGTTTATTTGCACTGTCACTTGTATTGAAAATACAATAAATTGTGTAATAATAAATAATATTAGACATACCTGTTCTAGTTGCATGTCAAGCACCTTCTCACTCAAGTTCCATGAATGTGAGGAGACCTGTGTGTGAGTAGTGTGTTTATCAGGACCTTTACACAGTAATAGATGAAAATCTGGAAGTTGGAAGTCAACTTCCACATTTTTTCGGATCCATTTTGAGGGAATTGTGGAACTCTAGCTGCATTTTTGTCCAAAAGGGAGGGAAACATACAGACGTGAATGTGTCCATTAGTTTGCCTGGGACAAAGTCACCCTGTGTGTGTGAGGACATGTGTTTATGAGGACCTGTGTATATGTGTTTGTGAGGATCTGTGTTTGTGTGAGTGCATGTGTGTTTGGGAACCTGTGTTTTGAGGGCAATTGCTTGTGAGGACTTGTGTGTGAGGACCTGGGCCTGTGAGGTTGGGTTAGGGTTAGGCTTTTGACATGAACGTGTTGGGTTCAAGCCCAGGTCTCCACTGACTACAACGGATGTCTGCTGTCGGTGCACATGGAAAAACAGCAATATGGACCAGTGGGAGTAGAGATTACAACAACCCTTGATACTCCAATTTACCTTGCAATGCATTGCTGGTAACTTACAGCAACAGCCATATGCATATGGCCCCTCCGACCACCACCAACCATTCATGGTAGGACATGCAGATAAACTAGAATGGAAAAACAGGCACGGAAGTTGTGAGACTCTTTGGTTGTGACTCAATTCGTCACTTAAGCCTCCACGCCACGTCAAGGCAGAGTCTCTAGTGGAGGTAATGTTTTTTTTTTTTTTTTTTTTTACTTCACATTTTGTGAAGTTTTTTTTGTTTTTGTATTTTTTTGGTACTTCACATTTTGTGAAGTTTATTTTTATTTTTATTTTTTTTTTGTACTTTTGTACTTTTTTTTTTTTTTCAAATGTTAACAATACAATTAAATTTACAATAACTATAACAAACATATATATAATACAAAACAAGTCAAGTCCTCACACACACACAGGTCTTCATACACACAGGTCCACACACACAGTCCTTAAAACAAAAAGTTCCACACACACACACACACAAACACAGGTGTTCACACATACAGGTCCTCACACACTCGTCGGTCCTTGAGCAGGGTACTCCCTAATTACGGTAGCGTAATAGCTGAGTACCCCACTCGGCAGCCTGTCAATGTCGACCGTGCACTTCTTGGGCTGAGGAAGGGCGCGAGGCTCCTCGTCCTCCTCGTCGGCGGGGAACAGCCGCTTCCTTGAGGCCGTTTCGCACGCCCATACCGGGGTCCAGGGCTGCCGGTCAGCGGTCGAGGGCTGAGGCGGTGGGGTGGAGGGCTCAGGGCTGGAGGGGTCTGGCTCAGGGCTGGAGGCGTCTGGCTCAGGGATGGAGGCGTCTGGCTCAGGGATGGAGGGGGCTGGCTCAGGGCTGGCAAGCTCAGAGCCAGAGGAGTCGGGCGAGTCCTGGTAAACCGGCTCAGGTCCCTCTGACTCTGAGCTACTAGAGACCGCTGGCCTGGTGTGCCTGTCTGGCCTGGTGTTAGAGGCCAGACAGAGGGCCTTCATCCGTAGCTGCCTGTCCCTAAACTGGCTCTCCCCGTTGGGGAGGGCCACATAGAACCTCGACGCCGTGGCAGGGTCGTGGCACATGGCCCTGGCCACCCTCCGCCGCTCCTCCTCCGTAAGGTGGTCATTGGCCTTACAAACAGAAAACATGAATAAACATCAAAATTCAACTCTGCAGTCAATTTTACGCATCAATCAAGATGTTACCTGTGTGGACACGCTGCTCCTGATCTTATTGAAGCTGATGGACCCCCCAAGTCCAGCCGCTGCCCACGCCCTGTTTATGAGCTCAGACACCTGTCTTATTGGGCCTCCAGATGGTGCGTGGAATATGTTGTCCACCTCCCTGCACTCCTCAGTGCAGACCTCGCCGGTGGCCAGGACGCGGAGCCAGTTAAATTCGTGGCGTTCGAGGACGAGGGAGGCCTGCCCGAATGTTCGACTGGTTTTGTGGTCGTCCACCTTGGGGGAAAACAAAACAAAAATCTGTTGACGGATAAGAAACCAAGCGTGGGAAATAGAACTCGCCCCTGTTTTTCCCGGTATCGCACCGACCAAGGCTACAATCTGCCAAAATTTTAGATCTCTAGAGGCAATTTCGGACAAAAGGGAGACCTGTGTGTGAGTACAAGTCTTTTTATGAGGACCTGATAAGAAACCACAACTCGCTAATATAATTAACAACCTTTCTAATTACTTTCTGAATGGTACATAGTATGACTGACCAACACTTGGAAGCGAGTCCCAGACTTCCAGGAGTCGGCCTCCTGTACCGACTCCTTTGTGACATGATGGAATACCACCGCCCGGTGGCCTGTTACAATGGCCAGGTAGCCGAGGATGTAGCCCATCCCCAGGCCATGCAGTTCATCGGGATCCTTTCGGCCTAAACCCCAACAACACGAGGTATTAAGGGGAAGCAACAACTTCTTGGAATGAAAATGAAAAACAATCACAAATGTACTCTACTTACCGATAATTGCGTCAATGGCCCTTTTGGCCCTGTCCAAAAATGCCACGCTGTCCCTGGGGTCCAGCTGGTCGGCTGTGAAAAGAATGGAACTGGCGTAACACTAGTGAAAACCACATCCCTATTTGGACCTGTTGTGACATTTCACCATTTCGGACTGGTCAATAATTTAGTACTAGTAGTAGTAGTAGTAGTATAAGTGTTATCAGTAGTAGCAGTAGTAGTAGCATCACCAGCAGTAGTAGTAGTAGTAGTAGTAGTAGCACTAGTAGCAGTGGTGTTACCCATATAAGACAGGAAAAGCCTTACCTGACTTCTTCCTGAGGATCTTCTGCCTGTGGACAAGCACTTCCCGCTGTATGTCCCGCTGGATCCGCTGAAGCTCGTATTCGATGTTTTGGGCTTCAGCGGGCCTCAGGCCGGTCTTGCGCGGGAAGCGCTTGCCCACATGGCGTAAAAACATGATTATGTTGGTCATCATGTTTTTGATGGTTGTACTCTTGTACCCCTTTTGGACCAGGTACGTCGGGTATCTGTGTAAAAAAACAGACAGGTTACCACATATAAATCTTCCAGAATTTTTAAATCTATCACCATTCACTTTCACAAGAAAATCCTAACTAAATGGCAAATTTTCTTGGACCAATTTTAGTGATATTAAACAAGATGCAGAGTTACCTAATTCTTCATCCAAAGATAGCAGACTAATACTCACCCACGCAGGTGGTCCAGGCGGTTCAGGAACCTGACGCTCCTGGTCAGGCAGTCAGCCGCCACTCCCTGGGCCATGTACCTGCAAAACCTCAGGGAGTGGCTGGCTAATATTTCCCTCCGTGGTCCAGAACTATTAGTAACCAACTTACCATACAGAAAGTCGGTGTTTTGCAGCTTGTCCACGTGCTCCCCCTTCTGAGCAGAGGTGGGGGCCACGGGAGCCGGGGCAACCTGGAGGGACCGGCACTTCTTTAGTAGAAGGGCGTGGGAGCGCTCCAGACTGGTGAGGCGGGCCTCCAGCCTCTGGATGCGGGCCTTGAAATTGACCCGAGATGGACCCGGTCTCTCCTGGTCCATGTGGTATGAAGTCCCTTTATTAAAAATAATGTACTCCATAATTCAACATTTCAATAACCCTACGCAATAACATTGTTAGGTGTTACTCAGTAGTAATAGTAGTAGTAGTAGCAGCAGCAGCAGCAGCAGTAGTAGTAGTAGTAGTAATAGTAATAGCACTAGTAGCAGTGGTACAAAACAATACAATACAATTTATTCTTGTATAGCCCTGAATCACAACAGAAGAAAAGCTTTACCTGTCTTCTTATGAGGACAGTATGAGGAGTAGGAACTATCAAGAGCAATAAATACTCACCAGAGAGAGAAGGGCCGGCGATGGCCTGATCCTCCTCCTCCTCCATCCCCTCACCTCCCACCAGGGGCTCAGGATCTGATTCAATATGGGAGGAATAATGTATATATGAAATTATAGTTAATTCATTCCAAAGTTTATCTATGCCATAACATATGTAGGTTTTTGAAAAAAATAAACTATGATTCACAAATTACATGTACACAATGACATTGTTAACACAGTAGTAATGGAGCTTTCGCGAAAGTTCACTGTGGTAGACCCGGCCGCTGCCGCCCAGATCTACAAGCTGCTCATCCTCGGCTCATCATACCAGCAACGCCCACATCCAATCAACCAATAACCACCAGGACAGCAAGTTAAAAGCCGGAGACGCCCACTTCCCGGCCTTCTGAAGTCTGCAAGCCTCCGCCACCCCACCTCCTCCTTTTCTCATCGAAGCGTGCTTGCCTACTGCCTCTGCCGCCACCAGTGCCTAGGCCCCGGGGGGGATTATGCGCGCGAGCAAGCGCCGCACTCAACAGCATCTCTCCCGGGCCTAGGGCGCCAAACATGCTTAATCTAATAAACTTCTAACTGCATTTTCCCTCGTGGGTCTCTCAAAGGTGAAATAGTAGTAGTACTAGTATCAAGAGCAATAAACACTCACCAGCCTCATCCAACTCCATCAGCGGGTTGTCGTTGGGTTGATCTGATTCAATAATGTAAATAAAAAAACAGTTTTTTCATTACAAATATTATCCATGAATTAACATAGGTGTTATCAATTTATAAATTATTTATATATTTCCAGATATCCAACAACAGTTAAAAGTACTGTTTTGGTTCTTACCAATGTCCAGTTCAGAGACGAGGGGCACTGAGGGGTCTGAGAGCCTCAGGTCCCTCAGCTCCTTCACAATTGCTGCGCGCTTTGCCTCGCGCAAGAGGGCAGCACGCTCCTACAAACCAAAACATATTGTTTGGACACATATTGAAACATATGGATTTGATAAAAGCAATTTACATCAGAGGAGGTCTTATTATGCCTGTCCTGCAGGTGCTTGTCCAGCCGGACCACCCCCTTTTTCGCACAGCACGGGCAGTCAAGCACAGCCGTGGTCCTAGGAGAATGAAAATAAATCAACAACGTAGCGCTGGTCTCTGGTCTCTATCTTACACAGCTCCGCGCTGGGCTCATGGATCTATTACTGTGTGTGTGTGTGTGTGTGTGTGTGTGTGTGTGTGTGCGCGCATTAACTCACCGTGCACTACCATATTTTTGGAGGAGGTGTAGCTCCTCCAAGTTCGCCACCTTGTGAATTCGCACCAGGTGCTGTTTGATATTTAATGCTTGCGTGAAGCAAATGCCGCACAGTTTTCCATCCTGTTAAACAATAAAGAGAAAAGGATTATAATTATTATTATTATAAATAATGACGTTGCTGCACCCCGTGAGCAAAAAACGTGAATCTCCGTGGGCCAGGCCTTGAAGGTGCTAGCATCCGAGGAGCATCTCCTTGTCCGTGTAGCACCTGCAAGGCCTCCTGCAAACGTTACGGAGCTCGAACAGGGACAGCCGCCGTGTGTTCTGCGTGTGCACAGCCCCGATATCCACTCAGCATTGTATTTATGAATGTTTATAAATATATTTTGATTGTTACACAACTAAGACGGTGTAATAAACGCATGTGACCACTCTCCTCCATCTTGAACCTCGAAAAGGCCTAAAAAGGCCTCTTTAAACTCCGCTGAATAACTGAGCAGAAAGGGGCGTTACCTGTACAAAAATGATTTTAATAAATTAGAATTATATTATAAAATGAATCTATGAATAAATTCAACATGAACTTGACTTATATCCCGATTTTTGCGTAGGATTCTGAAGTTTTGGCGGTTCAGGCCTTATCCGCGGTAACCGCGCCCAAATTATACAATTCGTTCATCACACGTTACCGGTGGTCGAGTGGTTACGGTGTGGGATCGAATCCCGCCAGAAGCATTTTTTTTTTAAATCATTTTGAGTCCCTCAAAGCTGTTGTATTAAAGGATATTTTACAAACCTTATGCGTGTTTGAGGCCTACCTAGGCCTAACTAGGCCTCAAACCAATGGGATAAGCACCTGGCTCAGCGTAGAAAAGCGCTGGTCTATGTGGGTCCGCTCGATCTATCCTCCCAGGGTCCGAAACATATTGAGATTAATATTTACATTAGTACATCATGTTTTGAGATTAACGTTTAAATTAGTACATGATAATTACGATTACTATTCAGTTACACAGCACACTATTCTAAGCTCAAATATCTAGGCGCCCACTCAAACCGACCAATAGGAAGCAAAGTAGCCAACCGAGTGTCCGAGCGGGTTGAAACTTTAGATTCTCGGTCGGACTGTGTTGAAATGGGCGTGTGCCGAATTTGAACTCCATCCATCCATCCATTTTCTACCCTTTAATCCATTTCTGGGTCAGGGAGGTGGCAATCAGAGATGCCACCCAAGTCTCATAGCACCAGCCCCTCACAGACCCTCTGCAGGTGGTGAATCCACAGGACGACGGCTGCTCTCTGAGTGTGAGCATAGCCTTGATCTTTCAGTGGGGGCGAATTTGAACTCGTTTCCATTAAATTTGAAGCCGTGACGAGCTTAATTAGCGTGAGATTTTTTACCGATCTAAGGCCCGCCCACCGAGAACCGTAAGGCCCCCGGAGGTCTACCCTACACAGTTGGACTCGTCTCGTGGCCCTCTACCACATATCCAAAATTCAGGCGTCTAACCCCTTCGGAAGTCCAAGTGACTTCCGAAGTTTTTGGACCAGAAGCTCAAGACTGTCTCAGGACCGTATACCCTTACCCTACCCTGAAAAGCTAGGTGATCTAAGGCCAAAACCTGTTCAGACCTCTGCGGAACCGGCTCGGCCAGCCGAACGCAACTGTGTACGGCTTTTGTCCCTGCCATGTTCCACCGCGGAGCTAGGGGGCGACAACCGTTTGAAACCGCTCCCCTCGTTAAGTGTTATAACTCGGCCAAACGAGGTCGTAGAGCGATGATAGAGGTATCGTTGGAAAGCCCTTCGTGTGACGAGTCACATATATGAGCTGCAGCAAGGTCAGCCAAAATTCAAAATTCATTCACCAATTGTAGGGACGTTTAAAAAGATACAAAGTTATTAGTATTTCCCAGGTATCGCACCGACACAGGCTATGACCTGTCCAAATTGTAGAGCTCTAGCAGCAACTTTGCGCAAAAGTGTGGGAATTAGAACTGGCCCCTATTTTTCCCACTATCCCAGCGACACAGGCTATGACCTGTCCAAATTGTAGAGCTCTAGCTCTAACTTTGCGCAAAACTTGGGAATAAGAACTTGCCCTTCATTGAGCGTGTCCAGCTGGTGTCAGAGACACCACTGTGTGAGTGGCGTCTCTCTGAAGTGTTGTGAAAAAAAGTAGTAGTGGTAGAGCAGTGCCACTCCTACCACTGGTTTGGGTTGGCAGGAGACCCAAAAACCCATTAAGTTAGCATTAGCCTTAGCATTAGCATCACCATTGGCATCACCATTGACATCACCATTAACATTAGCTTTAACAACAATTAACGTTAGCATTAGCAATGGCATCACCATTAGCATTAGCATCACCGGTAGACCAATAGTAGTAGTAGTAGCATCAGTAGCAGTAATAGTAGTAGTAGTAGTAATAGTAGCATTAGCGGGGACATTAGCATTGTTAGCATCTTTAGCGGTAGTATTGACTAAGATATAAAGGTGGAAGCTCCCTCATACTCTTCCAGATTTCACTTCCGGAATATACTTCCAACTTGCAAAAATCAAGGGTATACTGCCCCTGGTGGACATCAAAAGTTGGAAGTAGAATCTGGAAGTTCAACTTCCAGATTTCTGTTTAAGAGATGAAAATCGGGAAGTGAGCGATTTCAAGGCAAAGTCAATGGGAAATTCCTAACCCCAACCCTACTTAATATATGGCTACATTACGCATCTCCAATCCATTTATCATTAAATAAAACGTTTTTTTTGTAATGTATGCTATAAATTGGCATATTGTATATTTCTGACCAATATATCGATAATAGTCATATCGTGATAAATTGTTATCATGATAAAATCGTTATGGCATAATTGCTGTAGATTTCTTCGATGCATTTTTTGGTAAAATCACCCAGTTTCTCTTTCCGGCCGTGGAGTCGCTTTAGCTCTTTTTTCTTCTATTTTTGTGGCGCAGCGACTCTGCCACAGGTGCTTTGTTTACCACCGTGTTGCACATGAGGCAGACGTGATCTCCCTTTAGGCCTCGAGAACCTTCTGTAGCGCTGCACCACTTCATCTGGACTGTGTGCTGAAGAATAGACTAGATGACTTACGATGATAAACTGTCAACACTGAAGCCTCGAGGCAGAGTCTCCTTATGCCACAAGCACAACACTGATCTGAAAACTTCAGGTCTATCCTTTTAACTCAGTAAATATAATGATATTTAAAAAGTTGGTAGGTGGCGCCTATGCGTCAATTGGAGAAAACATATGGAGACTAAAACATACTGATGACATTTTCTTGGCAAGGCTTTTGGCGCCATGCCACATGTCAAGGCTGTGGTGTGTCCCAGATCCTTTATCTGCCTCTGAGTGGATCTGTTGAGGTCGTCAGTGAGTTAGGTTTGACAATATCAAACTACTGCTTTGTTTTATACACAATGTTCTTGTGTGACCACTTACTCAGCATCTGTGCAGATCTCAGCTACCTTCACTTCTGAAGACGACTTTTCGATAGTTTGTACAAAGGCCTCTTTCTCCATGATGTTGGAATTCCACTGTGTTTGTCGCTTGTCTGTCGTGGCAACATGTGTTATTGCTTTGCTCTCAAGCTCCATAGTGGTGTAGCTACAAAATTGTGCATAGGGTTCTTCCGTCGCAGTGTTCTTCCGTCGCAGTGTTCTTCCGTCGCAGTGTTCTTCCGTCGCAGTGTTCTTCCGTCGCAGGGTTCTTCCGTCGCAGTGTTCTTCCGTCGCAGTGTTCTTCCGTCGCAGTGTTCTTCCGTCGCAGTGTTCTTCCGTCGCAGTGTTCTTCCGTCGCAGTGTTCTTCCGTCGCAGTGTTCTTCCGTCACAGTGTTCTTCCGTCACAGTGTTCTTCCGTCACAGTGTTCTTCCGTCACAGTGTTCTTCCGTCAGTGTTCTTCCGTCACAGTGTTCTTCCGTCAGTGTTCTTCCGTCAGTGTTCTTCCGTCAGTGTTCTTCCGTCAGTGTTCTTCCGTCGCAGTGTTCTTCCGTCGCAGTGTTCTTCCATCACAGTGTTCTTCCGTCAGTGTTCTTCCGTCACAGTGTTCTTCTGTCACAGTGTTCTTCCGTCACAGTGTTCTTCCGTCGCAGTGTTCTTCCGTCACAGTGTTCTTCCGTCACAGTGTTCTTCCGTCACAGTGTTCTTCCGTCACAGTGTTCTTCCGTCAGTGTTCTTCCGTCACAGTGTTCTTCCGTCAGTGTTCTTCCGTCAGTGTTCTTCCGTCAGTGTTCTTCCGTCAGTGTTCTTCCGTCGCAGTGTTCTTCCGTCGCAGTGTTCTTCCATCACAGTGTTCTTCCGTCAGTGTTCTTCCGTCACAGTGTTCTTCTGTCACAGTGTTCTTCCGTCACAGTGTTATTCCGTCGCAGTGTTCTTCCATCACAGTGTTCTTCCGTCAGTGTTCTTCCGTCACAGTGTTCTTCTGTCACAGTGTTATTCCGTCGCAGTGTTATTCCGTCGCAGTGTTCTTCTGTCGCAGTGTTCTTCCGTCACAGTGTTCTTCTGTCACAGTGTTCTTCCGTCGCAGTGTTATTCCGTCGCAGTGTTCTTCCGTCACAGTGTTCTTCTGTCACAGTGTTCTTCCGTCACAGTGTTATTCCGTCGCAGTGTTCTTCCGTCACAGTGTTCTTTCGCTGTTGAATCACACACATGTAAATCAGTCGCCTTTTGACTTTGAAACAACTAGGGATGCCACGATTACCAGAGTAGCGGTAAACCCCGTTGAAAAAACATTTTCCATCTTCCATCCATCCATCCGTTTTCTTCCCCTTAATCCATTTCTGGGTCGGGGGGGTGGCAGTCAGAGCTGCACCCAGTCACAGAGCACCAGCCCCTCACTGATCCTCCTGCAGGTGCTGAGTCCACAGGAGCTGAGATCTTTCAGCGGGGGCTTCAGGCAAAGTGGGGTTAAGTGTCTTGCCCAAGGACACAACGACAGCAGACATCAGTGGGACATTTTCCATCTTAATTTTTCTAAAATATATTAACTCGGTGGATTACGGCGCCCGCGGTGTATGGCAATGTTGTTAGCCTCCAAGAATGCTGTAAGTTGGTTAGAGGCGACCTTTTCCAGAACTTTGGCCAAGAATGGAATCTTAGAGATAGGCCAAAACTGTCACAGAACCTTACTGCCGTCATCTCAGAGATAATCCTCCGTTCTACTTTAGTGGGCAGAGGGCGAGGGTCATACATTAACAGCATATCTAAAAATACACCACAATGGTCACTGAGGTGGACATCATCAACGCTCACATTGTCAAGCTGCAGACCAAGAGAGAAAACTAGATCTAAGGTGTGACCTTTCGTATGTGTAGGGCCTGAAACATGCTAATGAGACATTAAAAGCTTCTGTCAAAGATATAAAATCTGCTGCTGGGCCAGAGGGATCATCAATGTGCAGATTAAAGTCCCCAAGAATTAAAACCTTTTCTAGTCTTAGAATGGATGATAAAAAGTCAGAAAACTCAGCTAAGAAAGCACCAGCAGGGCCAGGGGGGGGGCGATACATCAAAATACAGTAAAATGTGTTGGTGCAACCAATTTGCATAATCTGCACTTCAAAGGTGGAAAAATGTTCCGTGTTCATCGCTCTGCACGTGAACGTATCACTGAAGACAGCGGCCAGACCACCACCTCGGCGAGAGGGGCGGGGCGTTATCAACAGATACTTTGTTGATCCCTGTAGGTGACATTCTGGTGTCCAGCAGCAGCAAAAAAAAACAATGAATAGACAGCTCTAAAAATCTAACAATAGTAATAATAACAACAGTCCTTTAGGTCAAAGCAGCAGCTGCTCTGGTCTGGACCAGTGTAAAACCATGAATCCTCTGCTCTGGTCTGGACCAGTGTAAAACCATGAATCCTCTGCTCTGGTCTGGACCAGTGTAAAACCATGAATCCTCTCTGCTCTGGTCTGGACCAGTGTAAAACCATGAATCCTCTCTGCTCTGGTCTGGACCAGTGTAAAACCATGAATCCTCTCTGCTCTGGTCTGGACCAGTGTAAAACCATGAATCCTCTCTGCTCTGGTCTGGACCAGTGTAAAACCATGAATCCTCTCTGCTCTGGTCTGGACCAGTGTAAAACCATGAATCCTCTCTGCTCTGGTCTGGACCAGTGTAAAACCATGAATCCTCTCTGCTCTGGTCTGGACCAGTGTAAAACCATGAACACTGAACTGCAGCAACATCTCAGGCAGAAAAGAAGACATAACAATTGTTAAACACAGAACAACAGAGAAACTTAGGACTCGCTGCCCTCAAATGTCGTGACGTAATGGAGCGTGTTGTGGATGTGATCAAAGTCATTAGCTACAGATCCAAAGAAGAGGCCGCCTAAAGCTTGAAGATGTTTCACAAAATCACAGAAATGCGCTTGAATGAATCTTACTTTAGAAAGTTTAAAGCAAGCGTGACACTGTCCTCCAACGACATGTAAAACCATGAGTGCAAAATACAAAAAGCAACATGAAAGTGGAGCTACAGGCGGAGGGTCTCCCTTATGTTAAAATACATGTTTAACAAAGTGTTAGCTGCCGTAGCATCAGGAGAGCTGTGGAGGAGGTGAGACACAAACCGACACCACTCAGTGCTGCGTCATTATTAGGATCTCACTAATGTCGTACTCGACGCCTTTTTTAATAGTGACTTCTGAAACACCAACAGGGAATCGTATTGTTGAGCTTTTAAAAAGACCTCGACATTGACATTAGTAATTGTGTCGGAAACTCTACAGATGTTGCTGCAAATATACTGTGGCCTTTTCAGCCTTTCTGTTTTCAGTGTGATCAGACGGAAGTTGAGCAGTGGGTTGAAGTCAAAGTCTCTATTGATAAAAACAAATGTCATTTAGAATGTGTCCTCTCCAAATGAATGTCCTGACTTTTATAGGTTGGTTTACAGAAGATTGTAAATGTACCAGTATTTTTGTAATATAATGTTAAGTATCTTAGTTGAAGGAGCAGCCATTTACCTGTGGACAACCCCCCGACCCAGAAACAGAAAAATAAAGGGATGACACGGCATGACAACAGTAGACCTTTAATTTACCTTGAACATTGAAAGACTTCCTGAAACACAACAAACGAGTTCCACATCTCCAGAGTTAACTGGGCTAAACTCTCAGTGATTCTGTTCTCATCTGCTGTCGGAAAGTTCCCTTCATACGGTTCTATTCAGTTAAATTATCTGTATATCATTTGAAGGTAAAATGACATGTGTAAAGCCCGTGCTGCTCTCGGTGTTCACCACTGGAGGGCGCTGTAGCTTAGCCCTCATCATTGCACCTGTTGTGGTTCATTAACTCACCTGTGTTCTGCTTGAATTTTCTAACAGTTTAGGGGGACGAGCTTTTACTATTTTCCACCGTGATGTATCGTTTTGAAGAGTTTTTCTTTAAAATAGAAAACAAAGAAGTTCTCAGTTTCTTCAGTTCTTAGAGTTTTATATGTAATATGTATTCATGTGGATGTCAAAGCGATAATCAGCTGTTCTGTGTGTTTCGTGTGTATCTTCTGTTCTGTATGGTTTTATAAGCATGTGTAGATTCACATGTGCATATTTGATGACTAATTTTTTAAAATGTAACTCATGTATTTAGTTTGTGTTTATCCATTAAAGGACAAGTGTGTGTGTTGGAGGGGGACCCAAAGGGGGTGGCAATGGGGTGAATGGAAATGAAAAGAAAAAATAATGCTCAAAAGTACAATCTAAAACACATTTACACATCACAAACTAAATGAATTTCACGTTGAGGCTTTAAACTGTAGCAACCTAACTGATGGTGTAAAGATTTTTCTGTGGATGGATGTGTTTTGCCAAAAGTAAAATCAAACCGTGGGAAGAGAACTGTCACAAACAGAGCAAAGGAAAATGCTCCTGAATCAGTGACTCTGGAGTAAAAACTAAAAGGTTTGAATCCGTTAAAACAGTTTCTATTGAATGTGTTTTCATGTTGATTCCTCTGTAATCTTCCACATAGATGTTGTAGACTGTTATGCTTATGTTGTAAATATTATCTGAATAAACTGTAATGCATTTTATTTTATATCCTTTTTAGATTTGGACCCAGGCAGAAAAGCAACAGTTCTGCTGATGGGATCCCTTCAATAAACATGAAATCCAGAGGAAACATTTACTTTGGCACCCATGGTTTCACTAAAGGTTCTTCATACTCTGGAAATGAACTGAGCCCATGGATCTATAATAATAACTGGATAGAGTATAGGGCTGGAAAGTCTCGTCCCAGAAGCACTTCCGGTTCATGGCTCGGATACAAACAAACCGTCAGCTGTTCGAAGAGGCTGTTTAAATGAATGGTGCAAAATGCTCTGCTTTGTGTTCGGCTGTTATCATCAAAGTTTACATGAAGCTCATTTTTTAGGTTTCCCAAAGACCAACTGAAGCTGTGTAAAAAGATATGCAGTTGTGATAAAACATTTTGTCTGATTTTACTGATGGTTAACTCATTGAATGCCAGCCTATTTCAGAACAGGTACTCCCACAGTGCCAGCCATTTATGATGATTTTTACTGATTTTTCAAGACCCACAGAATATTGTGTACTATGACTATCTGAAATCCGACACCAGATTCTAAAAGAATGGACTGTCTACTTTCCTCAGCAAAAAGAATTTTGTTTATAGCTTTTTTCGTTCCCCTGTAATCCTCCGTTGAGTAGAGGGAAGTTTTACTGAAATCACCAGAAAGTTGAGAAAAAAGAGGCACAACATGTGCACCTACATGTTTTCAAACCATTCAGAGAGAAATGCTGCCACCTGCTGGCTCGATAAAATATGGTCTCAAGTCATCCCCATACATATTAGATACAATAGACATCTGGGAACGTGAAAATAGCGAAAAAGGCATTTGACGGATTAATGCGTCAATGGCACACGACGTTACTATTTGCTTTGACGTATTTGTGCGTCAATGGGACACAATGAGTTAACTTGAATATGTATTCAAGCTAACTTGTAGCTAATGCTAACCTGTAGTGCGCTGCCGAGCCTTTCATTGTGGCTCGTATTTTAAGATAAGATTCACTTTATTGTTGTCACACAGGATAAATGTATTTATTTATTTGAGAGATAAAGGAGGAACATATTAGCACATATTAAATAACATTTAACAAATGTTCAAATATAACAGAAAACGGACAATCATAATATTAGTTAGTAGTAAATGAATAGGTAACCCAACTACATGTTATTTTTGACAGCACAGCAAAAATAAAAAAGGCCCAATGTGAAGCTGCAGTGAGTGTGAAGTGGAGATGGAGCTGATGTACAGATAGAAAACTGATCATTCATAAACAATGGCTCATAACCAACGCAGCAAAGACAGCTGTAAGGGACATCAATGTACTGAGGTGGACATCATCAACGCTCACATTGTCAAGCTGCAGACCAAGAGAGAAAACTAGATCTAAGGTGTGACCTTTCGTATGTGTAGGGCCTGAAACATGCTGTGTAAAATTAAAAGCTTCTGTCAAAGATATAAAATCTGCTGCTGGGCCAGAGGGATCATCAATGTGCAGATTAAAGTCCCCAAGAATTAAAACCTTTTCTAGTCTTAGAATGGATGATAAAAAGTCAGAAAACTCAGCTAAGAAAGCACCAGCAGGGCCAGGGGGGGGCGATACATCAAAATACAGTAAAATGTGTTGGTGCAAC